GCTTTTTTGCATTTTCGAGTCGCACGATCACAATAAAATGCACACACGAGTCATGTCGCGTTATCACATTGAGTCAACACTATGCACACACGGGTCATGAGTCACACGTGTCATTTCAATCGAGTCAACCTCGAGTCAGTCAATCACTTCGAGTCAATTTTATGCCTTGAGTCGTGTCAAGTCAATGTGTCAAACACGCTAGACCTTAGGTCAAACCTAAGATAATTAAAAATATTGGCAAAGTTCTATAGTCAAAATAAATACAGGTGCAGCAGAATAGGGAGGACCCTACTCCAATTCCTGGCGACAGAAATATCTCAGCAACGACAGAGCTCGAAGCCTCTCAGAAAAGTGATTTCGACCTCATGCAGCAATTTCGGGTTCCTTGGTACGTCAGTTAACCCCTATAAGCAATTTGACATGATTAGTAGTCGGCTCGATTACAATCGTAGTAAGTGATTGACCTGACAAAAAATCGTCTCACTTAGCTTAAGCGCCTAAAACACTGGCTCATTACAATCGGTTCAAAAGCAAGCACTTAAACGACAATATTTCCAAGTATGGATTGTCGCGCATTCTTATTAAACGACAAAGTTTTCCTAAAATTGGATTGTCATCCCCAACTGACAATATTTCCAAAAATGGATTGTCGTGCATCTTCTTCAACGACAATTTTTCCAAGATTGGATTGTCATCTCTGGTAAAGTTTCCAAGCGTGGGTTGTCGTGCTCCTTCTTTGTCTAGCAAGTTTTTCCAAGTTCGGATTGTCATACATTCATAGATCGCTGGCAAGTTTTCCGAGATTGGATTGTCATACACCCAGTTCCCTATGGCAAAATTTCCCAAAGGATTGTTGTAGGTTTCTATTCATCATAAATATCGGCAAAAGTTCCTCAACGTAGATTGTCATTCATTTCAGCAAGTGGCAAATTTTCCCGAAGTGGATTGTCGGTCGATTCTTTCTTACAAACGTTCCAAGACGCGGATTGTCAATAGTGGAAATATTTTTCCAAAAGGATTGTCGCATAGCGTTGGAAAATTTCCAAGGTGGATTGCTTTCAAGAGTTATATTCCAAGATGTGGATTGTTGATCGTAGCAAAGTTCTTATGAAAGATTGTTACGAAGCATTGACAACTTTCCCTAAATCGGATTGTCATACATCATACAAGGGTTGTGTTGGAAACTATTCCCAAATAAAAGAGGATTACCGACATACTGGTTCACAAGCAGCAAAGCGCCGACGTACTGGCATAGCAGCATTAAGGATTAAAAAGCAGTGATCTTTTGGAAGACTACCACAGCGGAAATTCGAGTTATAAGAAGCTCTTTGTTCAGAGGCGCGTGAACATATCAAAAAGAAGATCTTTGTACAGAGACGAGTGAACATCGAAACAGCAAGGTGGCGTTCCCTAGATTGTGGAGAGTTGTCACAAACAACTAAGGATTGCTTCAAGAGAAATAATCTTCGATAGTATTCCCTTGGATGTGGAATATTATCAATGCGGAAGAGGATCGTTTCAGGCGAAGCCATCTTCTAATTTGGAAGCAGTTACTAGCGTAGCGGTTTTCAAGCGGGATGACATTCTCTAGCTTGTAGAAGGTCATCAAAACAACAAGGATACAGCAACAATCGGTTACTTTAGAGACGTGTGCTCGACGGTGCAAGATACGCGTTTCTTAACTCTTTTATCTGTTTAAACTAACGGTAGTTTGCAGGTATCGGCGTTACAAGAGTGGTTTAGGATCGCAGAACGTTATGAAACATTCTCCGTCCCTATCGCTACTTTGACTTTTGTTTTCGAAACTCGCGTTTCTCCAAACTCAGTCAAAGTGGGGGCTTCTGTAGACACCCATTTGTGTCTCCCCAAAACCAAACCCAGTGATAAGTACCTTTCACGTCGAATCATAATCGAATGAAGCGAAAGTGTGGAAAGTCTAGTGTTGCGGATAGTTTTAATTTCTTTTCTCTTCTCTTTGTTTTTGAAAACTTATTTTAAGAAAACAACCAATCCATTTTGGTTGGTCAATGATATGGGTCCAATAGTAGTGTAGTTGGATGGGGCTTGCCAAGAGCTTTCCAACGATATAATATAAGCCCAATTCCAATGAATATTGAGGAAGTTATGGCCAATTTACCAAACTGGGCCCGGTTTGAGCTTTATGTACGGCCCAGTGATCTAGGGGAGGGCCTAATATGATTTATCATTCCTAATGCAATTAGGAATGGTTTTAGTCTTCTAGATTCTTCTAGAAGGTTCTTTTCATTCCTAATTCAATTAGCATTGATAAATTGCCTTTTGTTGACTTTTCAGAGTTTTAATTAAAATCAAAGAGCATTTTTGAGGAAATTATATGATTTTATCCTCCAGTACGGCAAACTTGTCTGATTTTCGAAAACGCGTTAAAACTAGGCTTGGCGCCTGACTCCAGGCAGTGGCGCCTGGAACCAGGCCTGACGCCAGTTAGCCAGGGTTTGCGCCAGCTCTGTTTTTTATGCGTTAGACTCTGTTTTGTTTATTTTATCTTTTTGGTTGATTTCTCTATAAATAACGTATTAAAAAACTCGTTTTCATTCACCAATTCTCAGGAATTCTCACCTACAGTCAGTTTTCATTCACAATCATTAATTCTCTAATTCTCTCTTAATTCATTCATTCATCTTTCTCTTTTCTAAACCTTGCTTTCACATACAAAATTCCGCATTCACAAGATCTAGAAACACTTAGCCATATTCGAAGTTGCCTTCTCCCTAAACGTGAAAGGTTTAATTTCTGAGGGTTTGGTCCCAAATCTCTATTTCAATTATTTAATTTAATTGTTTTTTTATTATTTTCCTTGAAGTTACTAACGTGTGTATTTTGTTATTAGAAAGAGGTACGAGGCATCAAAGTAAGTACTTTAATTGTTTTTATTGATATTATGATGTAGAAATCATGTTTATATTGTTATTATGATATTCCTAGTATCATGTCTAGGGTAACTATAATATCAAATATGCTTATTATGATTCCTGCGATGCTTCCTATTTTCTTCCTAATATTTATGATCGTTAGTATCATGTTAGGGTTATAGATTTGATTTTTATTGCTTAGTGACATGGTAGGGTTTGTTATTAATCTTGTTAGTATCATGCCTAGGGTCTTGCTATTATTATGTTTTAACATGAATATTATGATTATGATTATTATTATTATGATGATGATGATTATAGTTGCGACGATTATAATTTTATTATCATGATATTTATTATTATTATGTTGCTTGATATATTCATTTGTTATTGCTTGATCATACCTTTTATGCATGTCTAAAGGGAATTTCGTACTTGTAATCACGCTTAATAAGATAATTAATAATCTTATTTAGGGTTAATTGTGATTATAATTCAAGTGATCGCCAATAATAGTTTTATTTGTGCATTTATATTCAACCAACATAGATAAACAGGTTTAGGGTTAATCCTATTGATTGCATGTTAATTAAGAAGCGCACATGAATACGATCAGAATAAAGTAGAGGCCTATTATTAGGGCAGGTTCAATCTCTTTTAGGTTGGATTTGTACCTTCATCCCCGAACCCTTATTTGGTTCTAGACCTTATGGAGTTGACGATCTCTTGGATCGTTAAGGGGTGTAACCTTCACCCTGTGAACGGTTTACAAGTTCTTAAAAAAACTTGTTGGCGACTCTTTTGCTCTATCTTCTTCCCTTTTGGACGCCACCGTACTTTAATGTATGATCACAGTGGGGTTCAAGTTAAGGGATTAACGCTTGAAATTATTCCCCACAATTATACCCTCACTTTGTTAACTTTATTCATTGTGCTTCCTAAATTACCCTTGAATTTGCACATGTCATGTGCTTTTTTCTACTTTCTCTCTATAACTTTTGTCTATAATTGTACTTTCACTTTTATCAATGTATTCCATTTTTTTTTTCTCCCTATTTCTTAAATACCGTAAAAAAAAACACAAATGAGAAATATATTATGGGAAGAAGATAATATATTTTAATATTATATCTCACCTTCCATGGTCCCCACCCTAACCCACCAGTACTTTTTTTATTTTTTTTCCTCTAACATTCATTATATTTCAATAAAACTATTAACCCAACTATATTTCTTTTACCATTTTTGTATCACTCCCACTAGCCCACTTACCACTTATTTTATAAATTGCCTAAAATTATGAGCCGGTCAAAGTGTAGCACTTATTAAAACACAGAGAGAATAATTATTAATTGATGATGATAATAACATTACTATCCTTTCTGACAGTAATTTTATTAGTTTATTTACCCTACTAACATCTTATTTTATTAAAATCTAAAACTCCGCGCAATCTTAACTTTATCATTGAAAAAAATGGAGTGAGTCGTTTTTAAATAAATGCTCTATTTCTCTTAGGCACGTATGGCGATGCTAGTCTTTGATAAATAATATCTTTAATTATTAATAAGTATAAATTCTAACAATTAAAATTAATAATATATTCATTAAGACGTTTTCAACACGTACTCACACGACTATTTTTCCTTACTAGGTTAGTTCCCGTGCCTTGCACGGAAATTTTCAATAATCATTTTTAAACTATCATTATAATTTATAATTAAAAAAAAATCTAAAAATATAGGTAACAAATTTTGATCAAAATAAGGATTACAGGTATAAAATGATGTAAGAAGTTATCAAACTTATGTTAAGAATGTTTTTTTATAGCTATATAAATATTTTGTGTTAAAGATATGTCAAATCTTTTTTTTTATTTTTTTTTTATTTTAAGTAATTATATTGCATAAATTTAGAGAGCTATATTTGTATAAGATTTGTTTCTTATAAAAAAAAAATAAATAATAAAAAAAAAAACAAGTTATTTTGACTTGGAAAGGGAGAGCATGTTCTGTACTTCTGTACACTCAGATCATTGGTTCATTTAATCAAAAAAATGAACAAATAATTATCGTTATTTGCGGGTCGACCCTTTTTTTAATCAGGCCGGGCCCCTGACCCAAAGAACATGTCTCGTATGTATAAAAGTGTAAACTCCTAAACCCTAACCCTCTCTTCTTCTTTAGACCCTCCTCCTTCAAGCGCCGTTTCTCTCACCAGTTCCTCTCTAATTTTCTCTTTTAAATCAGGTAATTGCTGCACAATTCATCCTAATTCATCAAATTCAATATCCTATATTGTATCTTCTTTAACTTTTATCATATTTTGTCTCCTAATTTGCGGATTTTCTTGAGTAATGATCAGTATATGCTATGTTTTATACACTTTTGGTGCAAATTTTTTGATTTTTGTTGTATTTTTATGGTTTCTGAAATTTTCACCTGTTGATTTAATGTGTTTCTTTAATTTATCAGAATAAATCTTTTGATTTTACTATTTTTGTTTTTGTTGCTATTGTGTTTTGCCATCATAATTATTTTGTTGAAATTAGAATGAACTTAGGGTTTGTAATTCTGATTTTAGAGAAATGCAATTTCGATTTTTGAGCATCAGATTTTCGATTTTGTAGTCCTCATGAATCGGTATGCATTAAATTAATGTGTCTTTATAATTTGAAATATTATTTTATAGAATTTCGATGTCTGATTTTGATGCTCATATGGTTAATATCGCTGCAATATTCAATTTTTGATGCTTGTATTATAAATAGGTAGTGATTGTATTGTTTGAATTGAAATATGATTATATCGGTTATTATCGTTCATTCATTTGTATTCGACTTAATAGAAGATGTGGTTAACTTTGTATTCTGTTTAAGAAAATTGGATCTGTATATATAGTTGAAAAATGACCTTTTATCGATATTAGTGGTGGCGTAAGAGCTACAATATAAAAATCCATGTCATTCTGATTAGTAAATACTGTCTCTATTTCACATTATTTGCAACGATTTGCCGTAAAGTAGAGAGAAAAAATGTCTAATCGTTGTAAATATAATATGTAACGGAGGTAGGAATATTATTTGTGAAGAATATGAACAGAGCAATTTTAATGTATAGATTATAGCAACCGTAACTCTTGAAGATTGTTATATAAATGGAATTTTAGTTGCTTGTTCTTGATGGGTGTCTCATTTCTGCAAATCGTTCTGCCACAATCAAGTTTTGTTATTCTGCAACAGACATTGTTTTTGGTCAAGATATATGATCTGTTGCCAGAAGACGGGGTGATAGTTATTGATAAATATGACCATTTCATTTGCGGTGATAGTTATTGATAAATATGACCATTTCATTTGCAGAATGGAGTCTCAGATTAAGCATGCTGTTGTTGTGAAGTGCATGGGCCGCACAGGATCAAGGGGGCAGGTGACTCAGGTCAGAGTAAAGTTCATCGATGACCAAAACCGTTTCATCATGAGGAATGTTAAGGGACCTGTCAGAGAGGGTGACATTCTCACCCTCCTTGAGTCTGAGAGAGAAGCAAGAAGACTTCGTTGAAGTACTTACTCTCTTTCCTGCGGCTATATTTCAGTTTTGGCTTCTAAGGTCGGGGCCTTTATAAGTTTTACTATGTGAGATTTTGTTTTATGTTTAATTGAATCGAAAGACAGTATTTTTGGATTGTTCATATTAGTATGAAGTTTGGGCTACAAGACTGTTATTTTTTGCATGAAAAACATACTCTGGCAGTAAACATTTATCCTAAAACAGAATTATGTTTGTGTGGAATGACTAGTTTGATTTCGTTTGTGGTTGATATTCTCTGAGTTTATCTGCATTAGTTTCCTCCTTGAGTTACTATTAGCTGCATACTTCCATCTCTTGATTGCCCTACAAGTTTTAGGCCTTGTTTGGCAAATGGTTGTTGGCTGTTGGCGGGGGCTGTTGGCTGTTGGCTGGTTTACTTGGCTTGTTTGACTAGCTGAAATATTTGGCTGTTTATAATGGCTTTTGAAATTGGTTGTTTTAGCTGGCTGTTTATAAAAGTGTTTGGTAAATTAATTGTTGGTTGTTTATTAGATAATTTGTGGGCCAACAAGCCAAAAGTCAATAAAAAAGCTACTCAAAGCAGCTTTTTCATTTTGGCTTAAAAGCCAGCTTTTTCGCTGACTAAAAAGCCAATTACCAAACACATTTTTTGGCTGTTTGACCACCTAAAAAAGCCAAAAGCCAAAAGCTAACCAAAAAGCCATTAAAAAGCCAATTACCAAACATGGCCTTAGTGTTATACACTCCTAATGAGTAGTACTTTCTGCCCACTATGAGTTTTGGCTTACTGATCTAAAAATTGTCTATGCTACAATCTATTGCTGAGATTCTTTGCTTTTCCTAGTAACTCAGTTGTCTACTGGTCTGTTTACATTAAGCTAATAAAATTCAGTAGCTCTATGTTACTATGAGAGCAATAATCATGAGAACATGAAGTAGTTGTCCGTGTTGAGAGTCAACATCAGCCTTGTATAAAAAAATCTTCAGAATCTAAGTCTATATTCTCAACACACCAACACAAGAAAGCTTTATAGAGAAGAAAATCAGGTTACATCAAACGCAACAGCACTAGAAATGCAAGGTGGGAAAACATCAGTCCACACCCTCATCTCACTAAAAGTTCTACTTAAATTGGCGAACTTATGGACCACCCTATCTCCTTTCCTGCCTACATGAGTAAAAGATAAAGAGGAGCAGCAGCTAGCTATCTTATGGATGTCTTCTATTATCAAACCAACAGCAGAAGAAACCTTGGAGCATTTAGCAAGCTTGTGGAAGAGGCTTTGGCAATCAACCTCCAAAATTAAAGCATGCCTCGCAGCCGTCGCTTCCGCAACTTCAATTTCAAAACAGCCCACCTTAGAGAAGCACGTAGCAGCCATCACAATACCCTCCCAATCCCTTATAACTGCCCCAAAATCCACCTGATTGTTCACAAAACACGCTGCATCAGAATATGGATATGTAGATCATGAAGTTTTTGTTGTTTATTAGGTTAGAATCCGTGCGATGCACGATTTATATAGTCTATTTTTAATTGGGAAATTCTCAATGGTAATCATCAAACGCTAAAATATCAAATTATCTTTGGTAATCTCTAATTTGTATAAATATTTCAGTGCCAACATTAGTTAAGCTTTTTAAGGAAATATTAACCATAGTTAATGTTTTAAAAGAAAGGAAAAAGGAATAATACTAAAATACCCCTTTTAACAAAAAAACCACCAATCTATCACCTACTTCTTCCCTTTCACCCCTGCTCAGCACCAAGATCCCCTGCCCGGCCACCAACACTCCCCGGCACTAGGTTGAACCCCCTCCCCTTGTCGCCGCGATCCCTAAACCATCCAATTCCACCCCCCGCAGTCATTTCCTCTCATTCCGCAGCGTCGCTAACACCATTAACACCAACAACATCTTAAATCAAAGAAATGTGCAATAAGTTGTGGGTTTGCAGATTTTGATTTTATATTTGCAAATGTAAGTGAGCAATGACATCATCAGACATCATTTGCAGAATTTTTGAAAGTGGTTTGGGGATAGATAAAGGGTTTCTCAGCCAAGGTAGAATACTTCAATTTCTACGGTCCTATGGAGGCAATCGAACCCTTCAACTCAAACTTTTTGGTTGTTACCAAAAATTCGCAGATGAACGGAGGGACTGAGGGTTTAGTCGACAGAATCCAACGAGGTTTTCAGCTTTCTGGTTAGTGGTTGACGCCTAGGGTGGTTGTTAAGGAAGATCGGGTTGCTATGGGGTTTTGGTTAGGGGTTTCGTGGGTTTTGTGGATCCGGGAGGGAGGCGTCACGATAGGTGGAGGGAATTGGCTCCGGCGCCGGGGGAGGGAGGTTTGGGAGCGACCGGCGCCGAGGGACCGGTGGGATTGGGTTTGGGTGTTGGGCAAAGTAGATCGGAGTACTGGAGTGGGTTGGTGGGTGACTTTTTTAAAGGATATATTAGTCATTTTGTCTTTAGTTAACTATGGTTAAGCTTGTACTTATAGATTAATCTCACTAATGTTACCACTGAATTAGTAAGACAAATAGTTGATTACCAAAGATAATTTATGTTTTTGATGTTTACCATTGAGAAAAATAAAAAGTTTAACATTACCATTGAGAATTTCCCTTTTTAATTTGTACACGGTTTATACATGAATATAAATAAGAATTAATTATATTTTGTAATTTTAAAATTTTTTATGTTAATCAAAATTATTATATTGTATCTGTTCAACGTTGTCTAATTTTTCCATATTTCTTTTATATATTTAGTTGTTGATATCATTTTAAAATAACTTGGCTTGCTTTTTAAAAAAATATTAAAAATATTAAAAAAAAATTGTATATAAATATTAAAAAAACATGTACACAGTCCTTTTTTAAAAAAATGTTTATTATTTATTGTTGCATTATAATATTTACTACAATGTTATATAAAATTTTCTAAAATGATGGTTAGACAAAATGTATTTAATGTTTCATCATCTATTGAGCTTATATGTTTAGAGTGGAGGCTTAAAAAATGTACTATGTATATTATTAGCTATCAATATCTAATATTGTTGTATATTGAAAAGATTCAAAAGTGGTAATGAGTATACAACAATATTGATGCCAAAGTCAACTTTCGTATTTTTAGTTTTAACCTTACATAATCCTATAAATTAAAAAAATAAATAAATTGATGACATCATAAGTAAACTTGGAGGGAAAATTTTTAATAAGAGCTTGACACGTATGACACTTTAAGGAATTGATGACATCATCACGTTTTGTTTTAGTAATAGTTAATAGATTTATAGCATGTTACATGATATGTGTCCTTATTTGATTTGTCAATAATAAAAAAAAATTCATAGAAAAAAATTACTTAATTAAAAACAACTCCCACCAGTCCAACCACCCTTAAAGACCGTCCACCTCCACCAGCCCCTTGCCTGCCCCAGCGATGGAGTGCTGGGTTGATCACCCTTCCAACATCCCTTGAATTGCCGACCCCCTCCCTCCCTCCCCTTGAACCACCCTAAAAAAACCCTTTCCTCATCCCCATCCCGACTTCGCTCCCCTTCCCCTGCTACGTTTCCGTCCCCTACCAGTTCCTTGTCCCTCTTCCGACTCCCTCTCGACCTACTCTTCCCCACACCTCAATTTCAGTCCCCCTCCCTTTCCTACGTCTTGATTTTAGTCTGTTGCCAATAACGACTTCTCCTAGCGGCAAAGGACTTGTTCTGGGTCGATTGGTGGAAGGGATATGGCGCCTGGTGGTGGTGGTTTTAAATTTTAAATTTTAATTATTTTCTTAAAATTTAGTTTTAAAATAGTTAATTAACTAGTTCTTTGCCCGAGCAATGCTCGTATATTTACAGGAAAAAAAATTATACAATATTTATATATTATTATAAGTTTGTATTTGTTAATAAATTGTGTATATTTTTAATATTTTATTTATTTAAATTTGTTGTTACTTTTTTTGAAATAAGGTTGTATATCTTTTTTTTCATCAATTATCTTTTTATTTGCTAAGAAAATAATAAAAAAAAGGTTTTGGCCGGGAATTTTTTTAATGTAAACGTGACTCGTGTAATTCTAGAATATTGCGGGTGATTAATTTAGTATATAGTATTGATTGATGGTAATTAGTAATAATTATTTTTTAAAAAAAATTAAAATTAAAACTTTTTTTTCACCAATCATGTGGTGTTATGTGTAAATTAAAATTAACTAAAATAAATATTATCTATTCAACAAGTTATCAGTGACTTTGGACTATTTGAAGCAAATTGACATCAAATGTTGGATTTTTTAAAAAAAAACACTAGGTGAAAAAAGCAAAAAGGCACCCCTCAATGGCTTCTGGTTTTTAAAAACCGGTGGGGAAAAAAAGGCAAAAATGGGCGGGATTGTGAGGATATAGTATTGCCCCCTTATAATCCTCCAACCCTAACTCACTCCTCCCTCTTAGTCGCTCTCTTTCTCTCTCTTGCCTTCCCCGTCTCCTGTTCTCCCTTCTCTTTCTCATCTCCTCCTTCTCTTTCTCATCTCGATCTCGTTCTCCCTCGTCTCCTTCTCCTTCTCTTTCATTCGAAGACCACCAAGACCGACTTTTCCACCACCACCAAGACCGACAATAACATTGTTAGACTTAATGATTTTGATGATGACACAAACTCACTTACTTACAAACTAATAAGTGCTTGATTGTTTAAGTGTGAACTCAGTTACAAAGACTAGGAGAATGAAGTGTCTTGTAAATATACCATGAGGAACAAGAAGGCCAGAAGCAGAGCTAACCATATAGAAGAGTTCCCTCACAGGAACTGGCGCTTCAAAAAATGAAGACTAGAGAAGAGAAGGTTCCCTTAGGGAACATAAGCTTCAGAGAAGAAGCCTCATCAGAGAAGAGAAGTTCCTCCCAAGGAACAGAAGCCTCGGAGTAGAAGCTTCATCAGAGAACATGAAGACTAATTTTTTTTTTATATTTTAGGATTTATGTAAGTATAAGATATTAAATGACACTCGAAAAATCTGTGTGGAATTGGTCTAAAAAGATAAAATTGCGCATGCTAGTTTTTAGGAAAACGGTTGCTTTCTAAAACGTTTATCTTTTGAAAGGGATTTTATTTTATTCTGAATTTCGAAAATATCTTATGCAAAAAGATTTTATTTTATTTTCTTATTTTCGAAAATATCTTCTGAAAAAATAAAATCACCATGTTTTCCAAAACTTACGGCTTACTCACCCATGTTCTATGTCAGTCATGGTTT